TATATAATCTTCATTAGTTGCGTTTTTGACTCTTTACTTAACATGTATAATGGGCCAACCAATCTCCCCGCAGGGGAAAACGGCCAATTTAAGGGCTGCAAAGCGATAGCCGACTAATAGGAAGTTGGACGGTGGTGGTGGGTCCTACTACAACCTCCCGGGCGATAAGCTGGTGACCTTACCCTTTATTCAATTCGAATCATGAAAGCATCTCAACCTTTCACCCATAGCATTTAAAAACAACACAGAACAATACGTTTGAACCCGAACGAAAGTAACAAATAAAACAAATCAATTAAATATAACTTTCGAATAAAACATACGTTCTCAGAATCCAACGGACCTCCTTCATCGCTGACACTATTTTGGGTTAACTGGGAAATTATAGAGCATTTGCCAAGAAAGATACTACACTGTCTGAATAGTCTCGTCTCAAACAAAAAACGATAGCGTAAAAGCTGATCTTCAGTGATTCTTAATCATGCCAACACATCTAATACTAATGATAATAACAATAATAGATAACACTAACTAGGAATAAATTTGCATTGGAAAGAAATAAATTTCCATCATATAGTACATTGATTTCATCATGAAATCGGAAGTCGGATTAACAACGATCACTCAGTTGTTCGTTCACTCAGCCACTCACTGAGATGATTCGAGAAATGAGGTGTGTGGAATTAGCCGAGGGCGCATACGCGCCTGCAAAAATTATTTTCGGGTACGAAGAGAACGAAGGGTGTGGGTAAACGTATTCCTACCACTTCTGCTACGGCCAGCATCGGACAGCGAATCCGCCTTGATATTCGAACAAGAACCGTATACAGGGGGCGAAAAACCTCGGTCACATCCACAATGTGATTTGTTTCAGTTAGGTGTAAAACTACGGCGTTGTGCACTGATGGGTAGTGTTGAGCCCGGTTAATTATTCGAATGTGTTCGATATTGGGAATAGTACGCAGTAATCGATGGATGCTTGTGGTGGGGCATCTTCAAGTATCGCCATGAATATGTCCGCAAAAGGCGGTCCCAGCTGCGGCCTACCGGCCAGGTCATCCTTTTATAGATAGATCTCGTCATTAGACTTGAAATGAGCATGATACTTGCAGAAATAAAGTAGATGTTTGGGTCAACCAAACGAAGGTTTATTATTACTTTGCACATAACTGCACAAGTATTCAATCGTTTCACTGACGGGAACATTTGTAAACAACGATCTAACGTCCAGTGGGAGCATTGTTCGAATTTTGCTCACAAAAGTGTTATCGGTGGGCAATGTGAAATGTGGGCGGATGCAATTTTTTAAAAGGAAAATAGGAAACTACTTGACGTTTAATTTTAACAGCTATTACTACTTTTGTGTATCACTATTTCTGGCATCATTATTATAAGTGATGGCAGTAGCCTGTCCGATGGCATTGCTGTTTGGATTCTGCATGTGTCACCTCATATCACCGGTGTAAATTCTGCTGAATTACCGTAACTCTCATCCATTCTTCTGTCTTTGTGTATCGTGTAGTCAGGGTGACATCTGACTGGCAGACGTTAGAACGAGAAGGGCAATTCAAATTGGTTGTTTGGGTGGATGGGGGGAGGGACAGGTCGGAGTATCGAATTACGTCTACGGGTCGGGTATACGGATGAGACGGAAGATTCGCAATAGGGACTCACCTCCGGCAAGGCTGTAGTGGTCCCTAAAATCAAAAGGAATATAAATCTGTCTTAAAAAATATCAACTATATTGGGAACGAGAGACAACTTTTTATCTATAAATAATTTATCTTCAGTGCTTTCGATCAATCATACAAGTAATCTGGTAAGATGTAAATGCAATTCAAAAAGGGAATAAATAAATTCAGCAAAAGATTTGTTCCTTCAAACTACACATTTTTGCCATAGAATTTATTCGTGGAGGGTTTTATGTTTGTAAAGAGTGAATTACTTTGAGAAATTTGAAACAACAGAAAGAAATAGTGTACAGTGCAGTGAATACCCGAGTGCAAGTCACGCGAGGCTGCATCTTATCATTATTTTCAACTTATAGGATCGATAGCGGATATTTCATGTCCAGATGCTGGAAAGTGCATAGTTAATGGTGGTACAAACTGAAACTTGAAAACGGAAAACTCCTGAGTTTGTAAAAGTTAAACAAAAACGGACTTGAATGTGAAATAATTAGGGCAGGTGCTATTGCTATGATTAAAACAGCACAAACGCATTCATGTCTACATATGAAGATGGAACATCGGAAGTTTCTTTGCGTTCCAGATTGGCCATCTCTTTTGAGCATCCAGTTTTATTCACCGTGTTATCAACAACGTTCACTCGTCAACTGAGGAAGTTTCGGAACAGTATAATGGAAATCTTCTTCTGACCAGTTACCTGTACATGATTATGATTAAAGTATTGCGAACTGCTATAAACTAGCGAGATATATTATAACCCTTCAACAAGTCCATTCATCGAAGCAGCTTCTTAAAAACGAAGGAAACAATCTATGCGCATAGTACCCTGCGACCTTCTTCTGCTGCGTGCTGAGTAGTTGTATTTGCTGCGACTGGTACATAAGAGGTCACCAATGGAGTCAGATACAGCAAAAGGTTTGCGATATCATTTGCGGGCGGTGGTGGCCCGGTGGTAATGTCACCAAATTATCACCCCGGAGGACGTGTGCTCGAATCTTACCACCACCGTCTGACTTTCCTCATTCTCTGTGTGTGGTATCGCAGCCCTTTGATTGGCCACTTCCCCTTCCTGAAAAATGCATAATTAGGTATTCAACAAAAGTAAGTAAAAATTAAAATGAAACAAAATAAATCAGGGTGTGATAAAGTTAGGGTAGGCAGTGAACTGCCGTCAATTTCCTCGGTAACGTACGGTAACGTACCTTATATCATTAAAAGTAAAACCATAACTCAGAAAACTGTCGTAATCAAACGGCAATTCGATGGGATATTCCGGTTAACAAAACCATGAAATTACGCACAATTGGGAATAATATGGGAATTTTGCAAGGCAAATTGTCCGAATATCATTTCAAGCTGTTTCGTTGATCTCATCAGAGCTTCCAGGTTCATGTACTTTTTAAACCTCCTAACTATTTCTGGATGACCACCACGCAACAAAGACTTCTCAACTCCTATTGCAATCACGTCGTGATGGGTTTTGCTCCCAGCTTTCTACGTATTTAACCCAATTCGTAGCCGAAAGATAGCAACCAAACTACCCAGCGCCAGAGCACGGTTGACGGTTGTTGGAACCTAACTGAGAAACTGATTTCTGTGTGACGAACACATTTACGCATTTTATCCCCGCACTCTCTCCTCTCCTGCAAACGGGATCGCTGTTCGACCGTCTGTAGGACAACCAGGATGATGAAGATGATCCCGATTTTTTATCAGTGTTGTCATCGGGGCTATAATCAGGTTGGTCAACTACTGTCAGTTCACCTGAGGGAGATGACTAAAAGAACTGATTCCAACCAACCAAGAGAAGGAGTACGAACCACACCTACCACTTCCTGGTTGTGGTAGTGGTCCCCGGCTTGATTAGGTATTGAAGTTTACTGGGAACCTTGGACGTTTTACTCCGTCCAAAGGGTGTATAATCCGATGAACTGGAGACCGGCCTCCAATGGACTGAGGGTTTTCACAAACCGCCCCGCTGCTTTTTGGATCAGGTTTTGGTTATCCCAAGGCTGCGGTTGTGAACTCCCTAAGAAAATTCATCTGCTTTGGCCTGGACAACCTAGCAGCAACGTATCCTCGAGCAAGTTGTGGACTTTTTATATTTTTTATAAAGATTATTGTATCGTGATTTATTTGGCACATAGTCTGGACTCAGCGTGCGTGAAATACACATACATATTATTGGTAATAAAAATAGATAATATTAACAATACAGTACTGGCCGACTGTGATGCACTAAAATATTTTCTTTATGATCTGAACCATTCCATCTGCTGAGGCTACCGAACTTTTCACAATCGACATACAAACTTCAAATCTGCCAAACAACTATTTGAACATAAAAATTACGTCTATAAAGACTCACCAAGGCTTATTATTTGGAAAAAAAAATTACTTCAGTATAAATGCTGTTGCCTATACGAATTGACAAGTGTTTCACAGGGACCCGTTGCTTCAGTTTCGATTAGACCTGTATATTTCCATCGATCACCTAAAGACAGTTGGATGTTTCTGTGTAGTAGTCGTAATATGGATCAGTATCGAATAGCGTGAACTCGGATTGGTACTGAAAGCCCACTGAATGACAAGAGGAGCTGTGCATACACTTATCTGTAATCGGAAAATCATGTAAACAGATATCACAAGCATAAAACAATTATTGGTCGATTCTTTGACGTCCAATCAACAACGATATGGCTCATTTGATTGCCTTCTTGCTTTCAGCAAATCCAACTGATGGTACTAGACACCGAGGAATTGGTCGGGAAATCAGTTTCCTGTTTGACTACCAAGTAGTTGTATCGTGGTGCGGATGTACCCGTTGCACGATCACCACACTGTGACTCTGAACATGGTTTTATTGATCACCTGATCCTTTCGGGAAATTTATTGCAAGGATCAGTTAAGAAAGTGCGTTGTAGTGCGGGTGGGAGCCTCAATACATGCTGTCCTTCTCTTCTCGCCTTTGATAATCCTTTCCGAGAAATGCCGTTCATATACAAGGTGGTAAACATTATTATAATATGCTAGGAGATGGTGCCCGCATTGTGTAGAATTTGTTGTCACGTGTGTTTGCATTGCGGCGTTGTCACTGACGTATATTCAATCGTACTATGAGCAATAAATATATACGAAGTAAACCTATTTCAAACGAATACACAAGCAGACAAAATGGAACACCATTGATGGAGCTGAGAGCAAAAAGTAATGAGTACAATCCACTCACCCGGTTTAATCACCATATTCTCAACGGGTGCAGCTTCTGATTTCGCAAATATGTCGTCCATCAAAGCTTCCGGTTCATCCATATCACTAGTGTCGTCCGAATGGACATGATAACCCGCGGTCTCTGATCCCAACACGGACTGAACAGGAGTTGGATTGGATATTGTGATGGGATCGGTATTCGGTTGGCACACAGGCACATTGAAACGAACAGACTCGCGCGGTGGGGTGGCCGAACGTCGTGCCACCGCATCCACTACCGCAGACGTTTCGGTGCGAGACAGAGCCAGACTGAGCATAACAAACGGGCGGTCATCTTCATGTGGCATTAACCCATCACCCATACCTTCATGATCCGGTTCGAGTGAACGAAGCTAAATGCGAACGTGAATGACAAGATCAGAAGAGAATTATAGTTAAAACTAACTGATATATTACCGAGTATATCAGTCCATTTTTAATCGTACTGAGAAAATGAAGACGTACCCACGTCCATAAAAATCCAATAACGGTAGAGTTATTTATATGATCAAACGGATGATTTGCTTATTCGGTAAGGAGATTTTTTCATAAACTAAAGTGAAATACCCATGGAATATTTCAAAAAAGTTACACTGCAAATTAGGCTCCGGAAAATTTTAAAATGCCATTTAGGCCCTACATATTGCACAGAAGTTGATCCAACTTCTTCGACATCCGAAACGCACGTTTCAAGTTTGAAAATTCCTGTAGCAGAGATAGTACGGTGTGCGTTTCGCAGAAACTAGGTAAATTCAGGCCAGCACAAAATGTTCTGCTTCTAATGTGTGTATCTGGAATAATGCCAGTGCATCATTAAGTAATAAGTATACTCTAATGAATCCCGAATAACAGTAAAAAATCGAACTGTAATCGGCTTGTCCCCGAAACTATACAGGAGATATTATTTAGTGTACAAGGAGTGTAGTAAATGAACCATACGACTTATAAGACAATGGTGTAGCATAGTCTGGTTATTTCAATCGACGGTTGAATCAGTGATTCAGATATTTAAATGCACTCTCGTTATTCGTCCAACTAGTCATATTCCAGAGAGATGCCAACTATTTTTACTCAAACTGGGGTCAACTCGTTCTGTTAGAATAATGTTGTATGAACAAATTTCTGTGTTGTGATCTTGCCATGCCTCACTTCGAAAAATGCAAAAAATCAGCGAGGATACATGACAATGAATAAAGACACGCCGGAAAAAGACAGATGCATTATGACAAACAATTATTATTCCGTAAATAGTGACGCTCGTTCATGCACCCTCTTTCACCCTTCTCTTCTGGCAACCCCACCTCAGTCTGGTGGCTTTGTTTCCGTTGTGTACCGGGTGTTGATAGAATCTGGCTCGTAACAAAGCACGGTTGTTGAACAGTGTGAGCGACATTCTTGAATGGATCTTCACAAGCGTCAGCTAATTTCGTGGTAATCTCATCAGCTGTGTACATGTGGCGCGCCCCTTGAACGGCTGCGCTACAATTTCTCGCCGCCGTTGCATTCTGGATTTTATATGCCCAAATTGCTAAATATGCCTATTTTAACCATTTACACAAAGGAGTTCATGTTAAAAATTAAGGATGTTATTGCAAAAAACCATATTGCCAAGTTTGGAGTGCCAGTTGCTAGTCAAGCGCACAAATACTGCAAACGAGGAAAACGCATTCGTGCGCTTGACTAGCAACT